AGCAAGAGCTAGCCAAATCGACCGATATCCGAACGATGGCAAGTTAATGGCATATCGGCGATCTGCTTTCTGGGAGCTTCCNAGAGTGACCAACGTCGAAAGCACTTCCTCAGATGGCATCGTTCATCCATATAGACGAATTGTCTTTTCGATCGCTTCTCCCAAGAACATCAGACCAGAGCAGATTTGGGTGATTGAAGGGCAACGTCAGCCATTTTTCAATGTTACCCTCTTTCACAAAGTATAGTTTGGATATCGTGTTGGATTTAATCTCACCAGTTAGCGCAATACGATGTTTGTATCTTTTCTGGTATTACCTTCGCAGCGTCTCTTATGCCCCACTACGTAGATACATTGGAATTACTTGCTAAGACTGAGATCACGTGAATTCTTATGAAGCAATGAATTTTTCCTGACTTTTTCATCATAGCAATCTGCAAAGTAGCTCTTCGGAATTGAAAGTGGAGCTTTTGACCAGATTAACATAGGATGTCGTGAGAACTTTGCGGAATCTTCGAGTTTCTAACTTATGCGAGGATCTATAGGACAGAGTTGTATGAAAATAACATTTGAAATTTTAGAAAAGCACGCAACTGTGGGACTTGTTGGAGAAACTTCGAGAACTCGGCGATACACAGTTTTTGCAACAAGGTAAGTTCACAGTTCTTTACATTCCCCATAAACAGGTACTTTTGTCGTCACACTGTGTGTTGCCACTGCGTACAACTGGCTACAGTAAGCCGCCTGCGCGCAACGCTTGCGTAACTCGTAGCATTACACTATTCCTGTTTCTTCAGCAATCCTACCTTTTGTGTTCCTTGCAGTATTGGTTACCTCAACGGGTGCTCGATGCGAAATGCCATGTTCCTTATAAATGTTTCGAGAAACCACCTATTATATACGGCACCATTTGAAACGCATGCAGTGCACAACAGTAGCTTGTATTTTTTAACATTCGATACTATAAAGGGTATGATCCAATTAATAGAGTGAGCCTTTCATTCCCAGGGATCGATGTTTTTTTTGAAGATGGTGCAACAGGATGAAAGCACTGAATTCTCTCCATTCAATGTAAACATAGAAAAATGAGTAAATAGACACCGCAATTATTCGAAATTAAAATTGAGTGCGTGGATCTCAGGACCGTAAGGGCAGCTGACAAGAACCTATCTTTTTATTCCATGCACAGAAGGGTGACGTTTTAGTGTCAAAGAGTTGCACCTGTCAAAGTAGTTATCATTCAGACTGGTGTTTCTCCAGCGGTATGGCAGTTTCTCCAGCTAACAAAGATCTTCTACAACAAGAGAACAAGTAAGACGACAGTTTTCATGAGGTGTAAGAGCTACAGTACGTTGTTCTGTTGAACCAACTTTGTTGTTAGCATGCAAGAAATTTATCTTCCCGTTTGCTTTGAAATGAATAATATTTCCAGAGTGTCGGCAAATGGGCCATCATCTTTACCATCGAGGAATGGTAATGTTCCGATTTTGTAGTTCTCCACATTCATTCTATATAGTGATTGGTTCAGGTGATCAAAAGAAGTGGCCATGGTCAGATCCAGAGGAACCGAGCACGATGCTCTAACAGATACTTACGAGTAGCATTAATGTGTAAATTATATTTATTATCACCTTTACTTACTATACGGATGTTATGACGTTTTCTCTGTTAATCACTTGCGGTACACCTTGAATGGATCTTAACATTACACATTTGCTTCCGACCTCAAACATGACGAATCACCTCTACGTATTAAAAATTTATGCAGCTCTGACTTTCAGACACAGCTGTCCCGTCCGTGTTGATTTTTTCCAATCCATTAATTTAGAGTTTTCAAATCAATCATTTCAACTCGAGTTCGATGCGACTTGGATGGAAGTTTGTCTTTGAGTAGTTCTTTCCGGAGTACTTGTTCGAGAACTTCAAAATTTGGAATTTCGTCTACACAGGGTTCCTGCTTTCATCAAGTGGAAATCTGAAGATAGAATGGAGGCAAAGATGGAGTCGAACCTAATGCTGCGATCAACTGGCAATGACGGTGAAGGAGAGAGGAAGATCGGCGAGAATCGAGATGAAGGGTCGAGAAGCGACGCATAATGAAAACACGACAACAGCGAATATCAGGCATATGCTCATATTCTTTGTAGTTGGGCATGAAAACCTGTAACAGTAATGAATAGCTTATATCAGGAGATGAACAAGCAAAGAATGAGATAATAAAAAATCAATGATGAAGCCAGACTAATCAAAACTGCATGTACATAGAACTATGGAATTATTGGGCGAACTCTTGTGAGTATGATGCAATTAATGAGAACACCTGTACGATATAAAAGGAAGGATGCTGGCATCTTAAAATATACATATACCATGTGCTGCAGTGAATATATAATATAACAGTGAGGTCGCATTGGTGCTCCACACGAAGGCACGCTTGAACATGACATGACAGCATGCGCACGATACAAAGACGAAATCGAGAGCAAGAGCTAGCCAAATCGACCGATATCCGAACGATGACAAGTTAATGGCATATCGGCGATCTGCTTTCTGGGAGCTTCCACATACGGCTCCTAAATTAAAGATTAGTAGCGTGTAGTATGAGTGCTACATGCGTCGCTGCACGTGCTTTGTAATCTTTGCTTCAGGGCATGCTTGTTTGGGGTCATGGAGAAGTCGCGACACACACATACAAACATACACGCCTACTCATGAATCACATCATACGTACTGCGCATAAGCCCATCACGCACGGTATGCAGGCATGCAGCACACGCGTTCCACACACTAAAGACACATACTCAGCCAAGACATACGCACACTTACTCACCAGCTCACAAGCATACACACGCACATACACAAACACATAACACATATACATCAACACACATACACAATACATTAACTATGCGCATCACAGACCCACGCACACACATTCAGGAAGCTCACACACAGACACATGCACACACTCAAGTACACACATAAACACCTTGCATACCACCTCACTACACATATACCACACCAACACACGCACTTTTGGATGACAGTCTAAACATGAGTGAAGTGAGGGAACTGCAGAAATACGAACTTTGAAACCTGTAATCTACTTCCACGCTCGCTCTTCTTGAAACCTGGGCATCTTGCATAATGTTTCACATTGTTTTGCCGTACAGGTTTGTTAGGATGGAACTGTTTATTTGGCCGACTTTTCGAACAAATCGCCGTCTTCAGTGCCTGATAGCAATTTGGAGCTTCTGATCTGTGGCTTACCCGGTCAAGCGCCCATATGCGCGAGGCCAGTTGCAATAACTTCCAGAAACTTGAAGAAAAGATCTCATTTTGGTTATAGAGCTCGCATTTCTCTCGCGGATGTGCAACGCTTCCGAGATTTTTCTAGCACCGATCTCGTCTCGTAGCCTATGTTTTGCGTTTAATATCAAAATCATTGCCTTTGGATTGTACCAACATAAGTGTGCAGCCTGTGACGAAATTTGAATTGGTGAGGGGGGAGGACATTAGGCATACGTGTCAAAGAACATCTAACAGTTGAAAGGCGTGGAAGCCTCTTCACGCCACTTGGGAAACATCGATAGAAGTACATCAAGGCCGTGATATAGATATCAAATGCAAAATCCGAGGTCACGAGAATGAAATCGGTAATAGAAAGACTTGAAGCGTTGCACATCCGCGAGAGAAATCCCAAGCTGAAAAGCTAAAATTAGTGCATTGCCAACCCAGGCACATTTCTGCGATTTATTCCTTTTTGTGGGCTTTAAGAACACTGCGCAACTCTTATCCAACGACCGTCAATGGTGTCTCATTGATCCCTTGTTGTTCACAACATTGAGTGGGACGGCAACGTTGCTGGAACCACAGAAGGGTGGTTTCCCGGTTGGGATCTTTTCGTGTTCAATTTTTTGTGAGCTGTTGCAACTGGGCCAGCGCGTTTGGGCGCTCGGTCGGGTAAACCACAGATCAGGAGCTCAAGGTCCTGAAGACAACGGTTTGGTTGAAACGTCGACCAATTCATGAAGCGGTCTATATCATAACAACCTGTGCGGCAAAACAGTGTAAAACATCCTGTAATCTACTGTTGTGGATCAAGTTGACACCAATGGACTGACCCCACAATAGCAGCGCCTTAGAAGTTTGGCAATTGAATCACAGTTTTATTTTTCAATAATTCTGACCAGTCACAAAGTCAAGAAGCATCGCTCGAGAGAGTTGTGTAATCGTGGAATCGTGTAGAGCAATTCATGCGTTCTCGTTTGTCCAGGTTTCTCCCTCAGTGTTCAGCTGATCCTGGATTCAGTGATTCTGCGACTTTTGGTTCTGGAGAGCAATCTACTGAATTGCCTTCCTTAACTGTTACAATAGATGAAGTGACAGCTATCCATGTAGTTGTCTATGCTGGTGGCATGAACTTCAATTGGAAGCATTTTTCGGGTAGAACTGCCCATAATAGCACACTGTATATGTCTTGTGCTTCTATGCGTACCCAAAATAAACATTTGTTTTATGCTGCGATATATGTTAGACAAAAATTTGAATCGATCTGATTATTGCAGAAATGGAAGCTTGCATGTTCTCAGGGATCAGTATCGTCCACCGAAAGCTCCACCGCCTCCCTGAAAAGCGGCTTTGTTCAACAACTAAATAAGATAAGATCTGAGCAAGTTGATGAAGATTGACCTTTGGTTTGAAAACATCGTCATTATTGAGTCCAGCAAGCGTCTGATAGTTCGGATCGAACGTACCGACCATCTTTGGACCACCCCCTTTAGGCGGAGCAGGTGGTTTTGGAAGATTACCTCCGAATGCTGGTTTATTAAATGCCGGCTGAGGTGGGGGTCCACCCTGAATTGTAATTATTTTGTCAACACTCTGACAACTGCTGGTGTCGACTTACTTTTGGTTTGAATACGTCATCATTGTTAAGACCAGCGAGAGTTTGATAGTTGGGGTCAAACGTTGCAGCCATTTTAGGGCCGCCTGGCGGGGGCGGTGCAGGTTTTATGCCGGGTTTTCCGGCACCAGCAGCACCAACTGGTGGACCATTATCCTGAACTTTATTTATAAAAAATTCGAATTAGACTAAATGATGGACTACGACCTTTTTCTTGAAGATATCGTCGTTGTTGAGTCCGGCAAGGGTCTGGTAGTTCGGATCAAATGTGGCGGCCATTTTATTCTTATTCTGTGCTGGTGGCACAAACTGTCCTCCACCTCCCTAAGAAATTGACNTTAACCCCATCAAGTGATACTAACCTTATTCTGGAAGATATCAGCGTTGTTCAGACCTGCAAGCGTCTGGTAGTTTGGATCGAATGTGGGAACAACAACATTCTTCTGCTCCGGTGGTCGAATGTTTTCTCCAGAACCCATTCTATCCGCAGACCCCATTCTGTCCGCAGAACCCATTCTCTCCCCAGAACCCATCCCCTCTTTAGATCCAAATGGTTCTGCAGACCCGATCCCTTCTTGTGAACCTTTGTTTCCAGCTTGGTAACCCTGAAAAGAAGCATTCATAGTGAATGTGGTTAGAGGCAAATTGGTAGCAATCTTATTAGAGATATTTTTTATTTACAAAATGGTTGCTTTTTTTCGGATTCGTGCCTCATGTTCGACACCGTTAAAGAGCACGAAACGATATGACAAGGCCTGATAATATGCCGGTTCATATCGAAGAGGTTAGTCGATTAGTTGATACAAATTTCGATGTTTGTCCTGATTATCTACAAATGAGCACTCGCCTCCATAAACGCATTGGGAAACTTCTGGAATGAATCAGTGTGAATTCAAGAACTAAAAGCCGTCATGGATAAGTATTGGAAGCACGGCTCAAACCTTTTTTTCCTTATTGCAGCATAACAGAATGAACTGGGCAACGAGTAAAAGTAGAAATACCAAAGTCTGTAACACAAACAACTTCAAAAAATTTTTAGCAGTTCTACTAGTGATTGGCTACAGTCAATACTGTCAAATCCAGGCGGATTGAAGATTCTAACACTAGCTCGAGTATGAACGATTACGATGTAAAAATCTCAGGCAGTCAACCATTTTCCTTCTTATGTGAGCGAAAGCCCACCCTGAAACGTCGAAGAGGTTGTGGGCTGCGAGAAATCTCGGGAAAAGCTGTCCCGATGCCCCAAAAAGGAATCGGCGGGAAGAAGGTAATAGGGATAGGTGAAAGTATGTTGATCGGGCCTCGCAACCCCGTTACTGCGCCACTTGACGATCAGTACATAATATCCGATTTGTATCGGTTTCGCTCGCGAAGCTGGCATGGACTCTATCTTTATAGACGGTTTTCAGAGTACGAATGTTTCACCAAGGCCAGACGAAGTCATTGAGCATTCATCAATGGGAATGGCGGTAATAAGCGTCTTTGAAGATTCTTGGTGTAAAGGAAATGGTACCACGCTCAATAAATACGTTTAGCCACCATCAGAGTTTCTGCATTTGATCATTGAGCTAGCAAGAAACTACAATCAGTTTTTCATGTCTGAAAGACTATTTCTAGGAAAGACCACTCACGAGATCCAGCATGTTGGTTGAGTGGAATATCGAGATAACCAACGTCGCAGGGTCGAGTAAGGAGTGAGCTATGACCGACCTCACTACATCCTTCTTTATATATCTTACCTAAAGATATCATCCATTATTACTCATCTAGATGCACTACCAGGAGGAATAGCTACATGAGGATCACAGTTCCGCTCGCGCCATGTTAAATCTATCGCCAATATCAATGATACTGACTCGATCCCATGTGGTTCTACTTTATCCGTATACAAATTAAGTCAACCATGGCTGAACGATTCGTGCTACCTCTTGCCTATACACTTGAATTGCGAAGGCAGTCATGGTATAGGCTTACTCGCTATATGTGACATAATTTGCGACCTCATGCGAGCTTTTGTAGGCAGCACCCATTACGCACTTAAAAACCAGTCGCCGTTTCCCAGTTGAGCTCACCAAACTTCATCTCTTTTCACATTGGATCGTATAAGACAGTGTATTTCGATAATATTCCCAGGTGACAGTGTAAAGCAAGCATACATCAAGACTGTCGGTAGCTTAAAGGAGGACTCCGGATAACAAATTTCAGTTTCAGTTATGCCGTGAAACAGCTAAGTAACGTAAAATCGAAAAGCATCATGTTGATGTTCGCGAATGTCCTTGGGACACTGGCATAAAAGGCGAGGAGAGAAAGCTGCGGCACGCATTCAGGCGGTTAACTTGCTCCTATTTCATCGTATTCCTTTACATAGTGTGAACCCACCCATGCTAACCCACCCAAAGTATAGTACCCCAGTGTAAACCTTGCCTCTTATACCCACAAATATGACCGCTGAGTATATATGCATATTTATAATGCACATATATACATATTTAATGTAGTTGCAACGTGGTATAGTGGCAAACAGCGCACTCCACATATGCATGGTCACGGGTTCAAATCCCGGACGATGCGTCCGTTCAGCCCAACCAAGCCCACATCTCTCCGGGTTCGTTATTGACACCAGAGTTGTTTAGGAGGTTGAAAGCACTGACTCGTTCATCGGCTGGCCACCACAATTCATTGCATAGGCCACATACGCATTCAATAATACATTACGATTTTGAATGAAAGTCATGCGCGGGCGCCTCCCTCCTACTATTAAAACCCCAAGCCTTTATCCTTTATCCTTTGATTCATATTATAAACACCATATGTACATTTTATACTTGTACAANCATAGGCCACATACGCATTCAATAATACACTACGATTTTGAATGAAAGTCGAATGCGCGGGCGCCTCCCTCCTACTATTAAAACCCTAAGCCTTTATCCTTTATCCTTTGATTCATATTATAAACACCATACGTACATTTTATACTTGTACAATTTTAATGATACGTGCAGACGCGTTCAAGGTATGGGATCGACGACATTGGTTAGCGGCGTAGCTGCTTTAACAGCTGTGGTGGTTGTTGTTTCACTTGTGAGCGTTGTCTTTATCATCAATGATATCAACTACTTCTACGACGATGTCATTCACGAGCTCGATGATTTCAAGGTAAGCATAATTTGGAAAATTTGTTCTGCCGATAAATTGGCTTAACATTACTTTTGAGGCTATCGCTAACTCGGCCTGGCACGAAATGAAAACCGATCCCGAAGTGGCTCGTCACAAGCGAGCAGCATTTTTGGTTCGCAGAGCGGCTTACAGCACAGGTGGAACTGGAGGTGGAAGTGAATGCAACTGTGGACAACAACCGAACAACTGCCCTCCTGGCCCACCAGGACCTCCTGGAGAGGCTGGACAACCTGGTGAAGATGGAGCGCCAGGAGAACCTGGAAAGCCTGGAAACGACGGAAACTCCAATGGTGGGAACGGAGGTGGCAGCTGTATCCAATGCCCAGTTGGACCACCTGGACCACCTGGACCAGATGGAAGCGCCGGACCACCTGGGCCTGACGGAAATCCTGGAGCTCCTGGGGGTGGATCTGGACCGTCACCTCCTGGTCCTCCTGGACCACCAGGAGATGCAGGACAGCCTGGCAATGATGGTCAACCTGGAGCTCCTGGCCAACCTGGAGCACCTGGAACTAAAGGAACAGGATTGCCCGGACCTCCCGGTCCACCAGGACCTGTGGGATCACCTGGACAACCAGGTCCAAACGGAAATGCTGCTGGAGCAAGCCTTCCAGGACCACCTGGGCCACCTGGACCAAATGGAAATCCAGGGCAGCCGGGACCTGTTGGACCAGCAGGTCCTCCTGGTGAGGATGCCCCACCTGGCGAAGATGCGGAATACTGCCCATGCCCTGCACGAAGTGGTGATGGAGGCGTCACTGGCGGAGGAAGCAACTACAACAATGGAGAGAGCACCGCTGGACCATCAGGATACGCGAGATGGAGGGCCAGTCGTCGTTTCGTCGCCAAGAAACGTGCTGTGATGAGAAAGGCTGCCAAGAAAGCATGATTCCGTCTTTATTTTTGTCTACCTGGAAGCATTTTTGTCTACCATGAAGGTCAATAAAGAGATTTCCTGTCTTGTTATTTGCTGACAAGGAAAAAAAGAAGAAAAATTTGAAAAAATGAGTACTTATACTAGAAATACAACACGACACTCTGTAGGTGGTTTGGTAATGATGATCAGTTGCTTCGAATTAAGTTCAGCACAGTACATGAGAATTCATCTGCACCCATTTCTTTGACAGAACCTCAAAGCCTATTATTTTTTTCACTACACAACGCCATTTCGCATATGGGTTCCTAGCAAAGGAGACTCCACAGAAACAGGTAAATAGGTAGCCCACGCTTGGATGTGATCAAGAACTTTTGAAGGCATCGCTCTGCCGGATGCTAGTCAGCAAACTTATGGATCTGCTGATTACTAATGATGATATCAGTTTTTTCCATGCTTGTATTTGGATGGTCTCTTAATGGTTGCAAAATCAAATGGTTGCAGTGTTGCACGTTTTAGTACCATGTGAAGCCATAAGGAACCCTTGGACAACGTGCATAAATAAGTTGCGACTAAAAGTTATTTCGATGGTCGTGGTTGCGGCAGACGACGATTTATGAAAGGTGAAATTCTAAAGACTCAAGGAGCGTCTTATAAATTCGCTGTACTTCACATGGTATCATGCAGAAACTATGAATTCAGATCATAGTAGCGGTGGTAGTGTTAGCTTGGTATCCCTCGGATGCGATTATGAGTTTGAAAAACGTTATGGTTACAATAAGGGGCCAGAGATAGTGTCGTGTGCTTGCAACAATCCCCGTTGGAATGACTATAAAATCTAATTGCCGGGCACCAGCGTTTGTATTGAAGCAACTTTTTTGAAATTTCAATTTAGATCGTCGTAGCGTAAGTTGTCATATTTCGAACTGTTCTCTCATTCTACTGCTGCTCTTTGTGTGTAATATTGTTCTGAATNCCTGTTCTGTTAGAGTAGCAGTAAATAGGAAAGTAGGATAAAACCATTTATGCTAGGATCATCAGCTGGTTGGCAATCTTCAACATTTTTGGCTCACTGTAGTTAGTTCTACGCAATAACACTAAACTCCCCCTTCATGCACCTCTTGTGGTCACATCCTCGTTCAAACCCTGATTTAAGTGTTTCTTCAGAGCCTTGTATCTCTCATATCTCTCTGAATACGCTGTTTTTTTTACGATTCCTTTGTTACCTTTGCTCTATTCTGGATTGTTAAGTTCATTTATTGCCAAAAACCGGACATTATCGTAAACTGTGCCTTCGAGCCATCACTTGGAAACGTTTTACAGCTTCATCGCGTTTTTGCTAATCTTCATAGAATCGCTAATTTGCTATTCTTCTATGTCTTGCAAAAAATGCTGCCTCACTTTAGCAGCCTTCGTTGTTCGGGAACCTTGGCTATAAGACGATCAGGCATGTTTCTAGACGAAGGACTGTTGGAAAGATTCTTGTTGCATATGTATACAGGAATAAATGCTGGGATGAAGTTATCCAAATTACAGGAGAGCTATGAAAGTCTGATGAACAAAAGATTAAGCATACAAAAAATAAGCCTCGTGCCTTATAATTATCACTATCCTACTTTATATAATTCGCTAAGTGTGTCTGTTGGTGTGTCGGTGTGTTTGTGTGTTTGTGTGTGTGTGTGTCGGTGTGTGTGTTTGACCGGAAATTCATAACTCCTGTTCCCGTGGACCTAGAAAGCTCAAATTTTGTAGGAGTAAGGAGGACAGGATGGGAACACCTGTGTTAGGTGGCAGGACCAGACTCCGTTTACAGGCAGCGCGGCGTGCGCGATAGAAATTTTAGGTCGCAAATTCATAACTCCTATTCCAGTGGACCCAAAGCGTTCAAAATTGGTAGGGGTACAGGGAGCGGCATAGGAACACTTATGTCAGGTGGCAAGATCGAACTCCGCCTACAGGGGGCGGGGCATGCGCGATAGAAATTTCAGGTTGCAAATTCATAACTCATAATAATAACATAATAACAAGCGAGCAAGCGTTGCAATCCCCTTCGTTGTCAACAGTGGGACCTTTTCAATGACGGCAATGTAGGATGTGTCATGGTCGTAGGTACTCTGTGACAGGAACTGATAACAACTGATAAGAGCTGATAAGGGGCCTTAGAGAGTAAAAGGGGACTCATGATCAAACACTGACTCTTTAAAATGGTCCATTCAATAAGACGTTTAAATGCAGTGAAGCGACCGATCAAAAACATTCCTCCATAACGAAATGAGAATATTGTTCATTTCTTACCATTAAACTACGACCGTTACGCAGTAAGCTTTGTGACACAATGAAGAGCCACGATTCTTTTTTGTTTTGTGACATATCATTTGTGACTTAATTCATCTGACCGCTGATGATTTGGGAATCCAAATTAATGAAAAATCCGTGGGGAAAATGTTCCATTGATAACGACATCTGCGATAGGCGTTATTATCCATTTCTGGGTACCATTCAAGACATTGGTCGTCAATCAGTTAAGCCAGCAATCTGACAAATCTTCAAAATGAAGAGCAATGAATCGAGACTTTTAATCAGTATATAATCAATTATAACACAGAAAAAACGCTCCCAGTCCGGAGCTAATACTGAGGGTGTAGGGCTTTTAAAGAAAAAGGAGAATCCGAAGTTTTATTTACGCATAGCAAATTTTTTGCAAGAAGGAGGAGCGCTCGGCGAAGCCGGGCGAACCCGTAAGAAGGAGGGAAGCCTGGCGTTAGCCGGGCGGCCCGACTGGTTCAATTATAGGGCATGAGTCGCAGAATGGATAAAAGGGTTTCAATAGAGGAAGAAAAAATCTGTCAATATTTATAAAAATTCAAGAACAAGTCAAAAACATGACGGATGGTAAACCCAGAAAGCTCGTGACTTTGTCCTGGAGTAGTTCTGAAGTTCTGCGGCGTCAAGTGCCAGAATAGTGTTTCAGTTCTGTCACCTTCTGGTGCTTTGTCGGCAGCTTTTCATGATTTCATTACAACTTCATAGGGTGCTTATGTGATAGTAGCGAAAAACACATTCATTAAGCAGAATAAGGCCTCTTCTTTCAATAGCACTTGTTCAGCAAACATTCAGGTGCTTGGTTCGAAAATCAATTCATCTGGTCGGCTGAATTGGGACTGGAATGTAGTAGGAGTCAGCAGAGTGCACACAGCGAACCTTCATGTGCCTTACACCTTCTTGTGCGGGTATCTACAAAGAAAACACAATTAGTTTTCTATAATTCTATGAAGGATCATTCAGAATATTTCGAAAAGGGAAACAAGGGAAACGAATGGCGAAATGCATGCCTTCGCGTCTTATTTCAGAGTGAAGATAAAATGATTTGAGAGCGCTCGGAAATAATCATTCAAGGTTTGTTACCACGAAAACTGGAAAAAAGGAAAATTTTCTATTGAAGTTGTAGTGATGGTCAGTAGACAGTTACCTTGGAGAAGCGTCAAGGAGCGGTGAGCAAGGAGAGTAAGGGAAAAGGCAAGAGTACGCGAATTTTTCAATCCCCTCTTATTTAGCCCAGTAAAGCTATCCACGTCGAATATGGTTTGTTTGTGACATGTTCCTCCTCTCATCACCCGATCGATTGCAATAAGAGCACTCACCTCGATGCGGGGGTGGAATGTTAAAGGGTTGACTATGGCAGGCAGAAGCTTGAAACAATCCACTGAAACAATTTTCGGAAGAGGAATTAGAAAATATAGATCTGTGACCAATGAAATAGTCATCAAATTAGGAAATGAAGATTTCTGATCAATCGGTTCTAAAGAATACTAATGTCAGTCTCAATACGAAAGGGTAAAACGGACAAATAACATAATTATACCTTGACGCTAATAAGAAATCGAAAAATTAGAGCTTGAAATTGAAATTAGAATTATCAACCCGTTCAGTCCAATTACAAAAACTAAGGCTGATGTGAAATATCATGAGACAAGCTGGACACAGCTTGACAACAATCAAATTGTAGTTACGAGTGGTCATCAGAGCTTGCTTGGCTTAGAACCATATCAAATATAATTTGTAATATCACCTTCAAGTGCTGAAGATAAACACCAGGGAGTGGAACGATTCCTGAGAACTTTTGCGGCAGCACATATAGGAGTTCCTTCACGAATTCCCGGCTAAAGTCCTCAGTTCCACAAAGCATGAGCTCCTTTTTAAGGTGGATTTTGTGTAGTGGCAAATGGCGCATTATCACGCACGCATGGTCACGAGTTCAAATCACGGATCAGTATTCGTTTAGGTCAACCAAGCCTTTCATCCCTACGGGGTCAGCTATTGGCACCAGACTTGTTTGGAAGGATAAACACAGCTTGCTACTCGGCTGGCCACCGTAAGTCATTATATAGGCCACGTACGCATTAAATACGCCACTACATTTTGAATGAAAGTTGTATGCGTGTGCGCTTCACTGTGACGGGATTTATTGACTTCCAAGACTTTATCCTTTTATTTACGAAAACATTATATGTACGTTTTATACTTGCATTAGTGTAAGCAAACGTGCTTAAGGTATGGGATCGACGACACTGATTAGCGGCGTGGCTGTTTTAACAGCTGTGATGGTTGTGGTTTCACATATGAGTGTTGTTCATATCATCAATGATATCAACTATTATACTTCTACGACGCTACCATTCACAAGCTTGATGATTTCAAAGTAAGCATGATTTGGGAAATTTGTTCTGCCGATAAGTTAGCCTAACATTACTTCTGAAGGTTTTCGCTAACTCAGCCTGGCATGAGATCAAGACCGATCCTGAAATGGCTCGTCACAAGCGACCAGCATTTTTGGCTGAAGTGAATGCAACTGTGAACAACAGCCGAACGATTACCTTGCCAGTCCGCCGGGACCTCTTGGGGAGGCATGGTTGAAAAACAATTTTGAACATTCTTGGCTCATTGTAGTTAGCTGTACGTATGACACATTCCTCCCCTTCCATGCGTCTTTGCGACGAATCCTGATTTTAACATTT